GGGGTTCTAAAAAAGCAGACTCTCTATCTCTAGAAAAAATAAAAAAAAACATCTCTATAAAGAGATTAGATTATCTGTATCCCACACTCTCCATCAGATCCGAAAGGGTCCTAATATTCTTGTATTTGTCTATCATTCATCTTTATCAAATGAAAGAGGATCCACCTCACTCAAGATTGGGTGAATCTTCTCCTTTATTTACATTTAATTGCCATTTAATATTATTTAACGCATAATCTTTTTTTCATACTAATAGACCGGCCATAATTATTGCCAACATCTATACTCAACTATATTTTTCTATTCATGTTATCCATTTCAGGTCTAGAATTAATTATCCTTAACTAGGATTTACCCTGTATCTTCTTATTTAGTTAGTTTAACAAAAGGTCTCATACTTTTTGGTCAAACAATCATGAACCACAATTTACCGTTACGCAAGTACGTTTAGCTAGTCGAGAGAAAAAAAAAACTTAACATTATTAGCGACCGAAGTATGAGTATGACATTACACTTAATGTCAAGAAAATTCAAATCACTGGAAAAGAATTTTGTACATGAGAAAGGAGGTGATTTCTCTCTGACATTTTCGCAAAAAAAGATTTTTTTTTTTACGAATCGGAGAGACAAAAGACTGTACACAAGTTTACACTGTCATTTTTAATACTCGTCGTGTATTTAAGTCGTGTGCAAATTATTCTAACTGCCTTGAAATAAAAAAAAAAAAAAAAGAGATTGCTCAAGGGAATTACCCAGTTTTTGGAACGGGATTATTACTGTTTGATGGCCTAAAACAGTTTGTTGTCATTGAGCAAAAATGTTATACGTAGCAACATAGGCAAGGCCAGCTCTAAGAGTATAGCTAATAAGGCTTCTGCCTTAGGCCCCTAAAATTTGGCGAGCCCCATTATTAGAAATACAGTAGGTTTATAGGTATTTAAATAAAATAAATTTTAATACTTTTAGTTCAACAATAGACTTTTGCATATAAAAGGAAATAATTGTAAATAAAGTAACCGTTTGACTTAAAAATGATAGTATGAATAGTTTTTCTAACGTGTGAGATGAAATTGATTTGACAAGGAAAATAAAACAAGTAGAATATATTATATACTCAATTAAATAAGAAGACTTTATTCTTTTCCAAATGATTATATTGCTTATAAAATAATATTAACAGTTCTTATAATAGTTGCCTCAGTGAAAAGAAGTTTTTAAAAATTAAAATTGATAAAATCTTATCTTGGATCAATAATATCTCTAGAAAGATTAAATGGGTTGGCTATATAATCAACTGACAAGGGGAGAAATTCGACTATAAGAAAATTAATAATAACTTTGCATTTCAAAAGGCTAAAAGAATGGACTACAAATAAAATATATATTATAATCTTTGGAAAAAAATTGGGCTCACATTAAACTTTGATTTTAGACTATACATGTTCTTGAATCGTTCCTCAACATAGGTATAGCTGTGTAACGAATTCTTGAGTCAGGGCTTGCGCTAGATCAACTTTTGTTATATCTATTAACTAGGGAATTTGTCGCGCTTCGCGCGGATGTAAACCACATCATATATTTAAAAATGATTTTTTATAGATTTAGTTGAGATATGATAGATAATTTCTCTATCTAATATACTATATATATGTCCGTGTGCGCACATAAAAAGCCAATTATCTATTGATGAATTATAATTTACAAAAACAAATAATTTTGGTAAGAATTAGATCTCACACGAACTGCATATTTTATTTTCGATATTCAATAAAAGTAAAAAAGAAGAAGAAAGTTTTCACTTATACTTATATAAGTATTAAGTGTCGGGAGGCTAACACATTTTTCCCTCTTTATTCCTTATACTCCACTCTATCCTTTATTATTACGTTCTCTTCTTCTTCTTTTTTTCTTTTAATTTTCATCGTCTTTCCTACTATCATTTCCACTACAAGAAAATCACTTATTACATGAGAATTTTGCTAGGGATTATACAGGAAAATTCGCAGAAAACTTAGTTTCCTGCAGATTTTTCTTCCGAAACAATTCCAATGGAAAAACCTTCGTAGGTAATTATTACCTGCGAATTTTTAAAAACCCCAGGTAAATCTCTTGGGAATTTTGAATCCGCATGTAAATTACATGGGATTTTAAATTCGCATGTAGATTACTTGCGGATTTTTCCATAGGAAATTCTAAATATTCGCATGAAATTTTTAGTAAAAAGGTAATGAAACTTAGGAGTTTTCTTACGGAGTTTGATAGCAAAATAGTTGCAAGTAAATCCCCATGAAAATTCCAAACTGCATGTGTTAAATGTTTTTAGACGAAAAATCTAAAAATGAAAATTACTATCATATAAGTTTTCTGCGGATTTTACTTCCGAAAAAATTCCGATGGAAAAACCTTCGTAGGTAATTATTACCTGCAAATTTTAAAAATCCCCAAATAAATCTCTTTGGGATTTTGAATCCGCATATAAATTACATGGGATTTTAAATTCGCATGTAGATTACTTGCAGCTTTTTCCAAAGGAAATTTTAAATATTCGCATGAAATTTTTATTAAAAAGTTAATGAAACTTAGGAGTTTTCTTGCGAAGTTTGATAACAAAATAGTTGCAAGTAAATCCCTATAAAAATTCCAAAAGTGTTAAAATTTTTTAGACGAAAAGTCTAAAAATGAAAATTACTATCATAGTATTTTTACGTACTTTTATGGCAGAATATGTTGATAGATACTTGTACTTATTCACGTTTGTCATCCCGGTCCATGTACTCAACAAAGTTTCATCCAGACACTTATAGTTATTCAAAATCACTATTTTAAACCCCTCTCATCTTGCGTGTTCTTCAAATCCCTGACATGAATGACACATCAGTGTCCACGTCAGATTTTTTTGACACATCATCATTAATTTATTTCTCATATTTTAAAAAATAAAATCATTCCACTATCTCCTCTGCCACCTTTTTTATTCCCCACCATTTTCTTTACCTTTACCAACACCTTCAAAATAATGTTAGGTTACAAATAATCAAGAGAATAAACTCATAAAATTTTCTGTATTTAGTCCCAAATCGTAAAATTGCCTAACCACCAAAAGCACATGCCATTAGAAATAACCAACCAAAAGACTATCATCACCAAAAACTTCACCCAAAACTTTTGAAATTTCGCTACAGATAAACTTGTCGGAAACATATTTCATCAGCGATCTTCTTCCACTATTTTTATTTATTTTCTTTGCAAAAGCTCATCTTAAAAAGTTGGGGAATGGGGATGTGGGAAAGAAATTTTCCCAAAAAATGTTGCTAATCTAGTGGTGATATCGGATGTCTAGGGATGTTATTGATTGATGAAGAGGTGGCGGAGGAGGGCTGTGTTGCAAATACTCATTATAAAGTAGAAAAATTTACAAGCTCTGGTCGATGTGAGACTAGAATGTCCCAATTGCCACTTTCCAGTATAATACTATTTACTTTATTTAATAGTGCTTGTTGATGACATAGTTCTGATTGATAAGACGCGAGGCGGTGCCAACGAGAGGTTGCAGGTTTGGAGACAAGCCCTTGAGTCTAAGGGGTCGTTTGGTAGGATGCATTAGCTTTGTGTATTAATAATACCTTGTTTGGTAGATATTTTGATCCTATGCTTAGTTATGCAAGTATTAGTTATACATTCTATTTGGTATTATCCTATGCATAACTAATGCATAGAATACCATGGTATTAGCAATGCAATGGTTTTTAATGCATGCATTAGCTTAGTTAAAGACAAAATTGTCCTTCAAAATTTATGCTTGATTAAAATGTGTTAGTTATTATATTAATGCAAGTTTAGAATAATCCAAATAGTGAGAAATAAAATTATATCTCTAGTAAATAAATAAATACTTAGCATATTTCTTTTTTTATAAATAAATATTTAGTTCTATATTACAATATAGGTAGACAAATCAAATAATTTTTTTAACTTTTTCATATAAAAACATTTCTCAACATATGTTTCTTTTAAAAAGTTAGAGTGATGGATTGGTTTTGAGGATATTTTTATAAACAAACAATTCTTTTAGAAATTGTGCAATGCTTTAATACATCAAACCAAACAATGG